ATACGCTGAAGTTTATTTATTATTTAATATCTTTGTATGAAACATCCGGAACTAATCTGAAACAATCAACGTTCAACAAGTAGTAATTTTTTGTTATTTTTCAAATCGCTTCAAGTCCAAACAGTTCAAAACATGTTGAATATCTTGCGTCTTTTTGTCTACAATTCTTCATGTCTTGATTATATAGAGCAAACTGGAATAATTCCAGTCAGTGCTTCAGAATTTCGTAATATTTTTGATACCACAAAGTTCTTTTTAAGCTGGAAAACTGCTTTTGCCCAAGTAGATGGATGTAAGTCTTAGGTATCTATTCAAGCACAAACTTTCTCAAAACTCATTGAAATTAATTAGTTTCATGAGTTTTTCATCAACTGTGTATACAATACGATACAGACGGTAGTAAAAATCCGAAAGTTAGGCACCGTTGCCAATGTAAAAGGGGCAGTCACACAATTGGGAGTTATGCAGCACATAACTCCCTTCGCTTACCTTACTGGCACATACATGCACATATTATATGCATGTATCAACTGTGTGGTGATATGTAAAGCAGAATTTGCTCGATATTCAGGTTGGCAATCATTTCCACACCAAAAACAGTGAACAAATAACTGTTTGTCGTTAGAACCGCTTTGCCTTCTTTTAAGCCCTTTTTGTTATCTATCAGTTCTCCGACACTCAATTGCAGCGAAAGAAAATCAGAAAAGCTTGTTTCTCAGCCCATATGTTTTAGAAAGGCACAAAACTAGAAAACCTAGATTCTCTATGGACGATCTTCTTTTACTTGTTTAACTCCTTGTATAACTCCTATATGGCATTTTATAGCATGAAGAAAAAGGCGACTTTACCTTCCACGGACTTCACTACACTACGAAAACTCCACTAGTGGTTGGTGAAAATATATATTTCATTTAACATTGAAAATGCTGCTTCTGTTGTTTTTTTGGTTTCTTTGCTAGTTATTTACCTGTCCATGCGCTTATAGTAATGGTGGGTCGCTTCGTATAGAGAAGACATTCGGCGACGTAGTCGAGTAGATATGAACTGCGCACTCGCAGAAGAACAGTGTTTTGAAGAGGAGCGAATCCTTCAAGTACACTTGTGCGTACTTCTCCAACAAGCGTGAACTTGAAAAGTCATTCTCACAAGATAAAACAGAGAGAATGTTAAGAAAGCAAAAAATAATCTTTCTGCACTAGCCGGGAATCGAACCCGGGTCGCCCGCGTGGCAGGCGAGCATTCTACCACTGAACCACCAGTAAAACCGATACTAAAATGGCTAACAATGATAACAACTATTTGAAGTTATCAGAACCGACATCGGCGTGCGAAGGTTCAACTAGTACAAGTCATTGGGGTAAGTTCTTTTAAGTAAGCTTGTTCTGAGGAAATGCAGTCTCGTTCTAGAATGTATGCTTAAACTTTTTTCAAGTTATCCCAAATCTCTTATTGGCAAGTGCTTATCCGGGTTCTCGAGTATCTAGAGAACATGGCGAAATTATCAAAAGAATAGTCGATAGTGGCATCAAAATATTCGTTAATCTAATGGATGAAGAAGAATCGAAACAATTCAAACCTTATGGTAAGCCGATGATGATTTATGCTATAAAAGTTCCAACTTTCTAAGCCAGAGTTACCGCACTTTCTTTGGCATTTTCGGCAAGTGAAACCACACTGACTGCTTTAATGTATGTTTGTTTCTAGTACTTTAAAGTATGCTCTTTCTAATGGCCTACAAGTAACGTTTGTTGTCGACTTAGTTGGCTCAAAAAGTCAAGATTTTTTGCAAGTATCAAAAAATTCGGCTTTTTTTACAACCTGTGTCAAATAGAGTAGACATGCGGTGTGCCAAATTATCAAAAGCGATTTCATCGAGCAAGTGCGACTACAGCCTACAGAATGAAAACGACAGTCATAGACGTCAGTATCCAAAATGAGATAGCATCCAATCTAAGATTGGCCTAAATCACTCTGCCAGCTGAGTTTGAATTACTCTAAACTTCGATTCAAGTATGGTCTGCCCTTTTCCAGACGAAACTCCAATTCAAATTTGAACTAGGTCGAACTAAAATGTAAGAAAAAGCTTGACATTCGATCTACGATTGACGTAAAAAGCTAGACCAAACTAAGATTCGACTGCTAGCGAATACCGGATTAATCCAGTATAGTCTTCTAACGTCTAAATTTTGTCGCAAACTTTATTTCACAACAATCACCGCTGTCCATATATTTTCTGATTCCAAGCGAAGCCAGTTTTAGCCAAAACTTGGCCGAACAACAGTATAGTAACATACAACGGCAGGACTCCATCAGATACAATCGTGCAATAAACTAGCAGTTTATATAACAAATTGGCTTTATGTTAATAGTCAGCACTTTCACATGCAGATATTTCATTTTTATTAATGTGAGATGTTCCTTGTAAGCCGACATGTATACGATGTCACAAAGCAAAAAATAGAGTTTAATGTGGATTCACGCTAAGCCTTAAATGAGACTCCGTGAGAAAATCGAGAATGCTGCTGTGAAAAAACGATAAAACCTCCGAAAAATGAAAGCTTTTTAAATACGATTTTTGGATTCTTCATCCAAAAAACTACCTGTAAATCCAAGTTTTTAGCCTTTGAACACTTTTCCTCTTTGAGAAAAATCTTTTTCAAAAGAGTAGCCAACAGGTGAAGATTTCTGTATTTCTTGTACTTTTAATTGCAGCGACGTTATCATACATTTGATTTTCTTAAATTAAACATTATTCGAACGAGCACAAAAACCTCAACGAAACCTGACATTGTTCAGGTCTTAAATAAAGTTTTCGTTCCCAAAAAAAAATTAAACGATGTACCATTAGAAAAAAAAGCAGATAATTTATCCCGTGAAACAATTATTATGACAACAAATTCCCTCGGTCTAGAGCAATTTTTAGCCCATCTTGTAGAGAATAAAATTCTCTACAAAATAGTAAATTGAAGTATAACCTTCGCAACAGGCCGAAAAATGTTCAACAATGACTACCATTAGAATTAGCATATCATAGAAATTGTTTTAAACATGATTTTCATTTATATAGAGTCATTTTCATCATCAATATGTAAAAGCATGCTAAGAAAGGCATTTATGAATAGGTAGAATATTAATAAGCGGACGTTGAAAATAAGTAGTAAAATAATTGCATTACTGTTGGCTGTTCAAAAAAAGAATGGATTCTGCTGTTTTTTCAATCACTTTTAATAGAAAGCAGCTAGAGAGCTCTAATTAGTGGCATTCGAAAGAGGAGACTGGGAGGATGATTCCTTAGTCAAACATTTTTGGTTTTTAAGGCTCTGTTTTTCAGGGCATTCCCCGTAATGATCTTATCTCTACGAAAACTCACCGGAAAATGGAGGATGATCCTTTCAAATGGAAAACGTCTCACATTGAGGAGCACATTTTCTTCTATTAACCTAGCTATGAGAAAAAATTTTGAATATATAGGAAAGAAGAGAAACATTTACGAATCTAAAAACTTGAGTTTTTATAGGCTTCGAAGAAAAAACGTAAAAACTTCATCTTTTTTCAAGGAAGGTCATGAAGAACTGGGAATGGTCTCATTTTATAGCCCAGACTTTCTTCTACATTAGGCTATGTTCAGCTCGAAATGAAAAATTTTTTGCAAAAAAGAACGGAGGATCCTTAAGCAAGTTGTTCGCCACTGTAAGAGGTTGTCTACTACTCTGAAAAAAATATCGAGTTTTCCCATAGCTTAAGCAGGATTTAGAAGAATGCCACAACCAGAAACCGCTAAAGGTTTCATAATTTTTATCTAAAAACGCCTAAAAAGGTTTAGTAAAGAGTGTCTCATGTTTACTAAACGTCTTATCAGTTCAAGAATTCTTTTTCAAATGCATAATTCTCATTGTCATTGCAGTAATCGATAAATCTCTCGGTTTCTATAGCTAACGAGTTTAGTGAAAAACACAAAACTTAAATATTCATTTTTCCACACTCTCAGAATATGGCTGCTTTCTTGTTCTAATACGCCTAACATGAAACACTTTAACGAAACTGTATCATACATAAATAGAAACAAGAATATAAAAAATAATATGATAAAAACAAAACTAAAAAGAATGACATCTGTTATCTTTTCTGAAATGCTGAGTAAATAACATGTACCATTCATAAAACCTACAAAAGACTTGAAGATTCTACCCAAAAAAGATTCTGTCATTCTAAGGGCATGATTAAGCCATTTTGACACGTACCCACCGCGCATGTATATGAAAGATAAAGATATAAAGCTAGACGTTATTCTATACAGTCAAAAACTGCGTAAAATATAAAACAAAAATAGTTAGTTTCTAAAAAAGAACACCTTAGAAAAACACACGTGTATCTAATTTTGGTAAACCCTTAACTTACGCCGTCAATCACAATGTCACCCCGAAAGTTTACAGCTAAAGAAAATTGTGTTTACAGCTGGCGACAAAAATCCAAAGCAAACCACAAAAATCCTCATATATAACCTTTGTACTTCAAACTTCCTTTTCCTTCGGAAAATGGACAAGTCCTAGGAAGTTTTCACAAAAGAGAAAGCGTTAGTTCGTTTGTCTTTAGTTATTTTGAAATGGACTTATTGAATGAAAACTATACATAAAAAAAGTATATGATGCGTTCTAGCAGTCTAATTGTGATCATTATCAATGTCGTTGACGGGAATTTTTCATTCTCATTCTCAATCTAGCCTCTATTTTGTTTGGGTTAAAGATTTTATCCAATTGTGTATACATCATATACATTCCGGCAAAATTAGCACCTAACATGACGGCAAACATGGATGCTGTCATGATAGCCACCGGTTGTTTGCACGCCTCTTCAAAATCTTTTGGTGAAAATATACTGATTTCAGTTTGTGTAGTTGTCATAGTCGTTGTGGTGATGGCTAAAAAAAATGACTTGATTGAAGGTAAAATGCGGGAAAGAAACATCGTGCAGCCCGCTGATTCAGAACACTATCAATGTAATCAACCATCAGTCAAAGTGTGACAAATTTGCAACTGTGCCTTACTTGATGTTGTCGTGGTTGTGACAGATGTCGTTGTGGTAATGGCTGCAGTTGTTGTGCCACCTGTAGTGATTGTCACAGCGATACCCGTAGTTGTCAAAGCTGGGTTCGCCGTCGTTGTACTAAGAGACTAAAGAAAAGAAAAGTTAAATAAAAATATTTTGAAGCAGAATAATAAAGACTTACTCTTGTAGTGACTGAGGGAATGGTACCTGCCGTTGTTGTGGTCGTTGTTGTACTTGATTGGTGAGAATCCCAAATTGTAAAATTCCAGAAGTCCGACCCTATAAAAGGAAAAATTTGTAAAAAATTCTTTCTTCAAAAAAAGTCATTATAAACGTTTGCAACCTAATTCTGGCTTTGATTCAGGGCCACAAAACGCTGTTCCAGAAGATGCACCAGAATCAAATGTTATATAATAAAGAGCACCCGGCACCCAATTTGGATTTCGTACAATAAATAATATTGTTTGATTTGTATAGAGAAGATCCGGATAAGTGGAATTTGCATCGTATCCACAGTCAATCTGCCAGACCACAGTACCATTTTGATGTATGATTTTTATATATGTCCCATTACGACCGGGACGATGAACAGTACCAGTTGCTGAAGAAACAAGACGGCTAGATACCCAGGTCCAAGAAAACGGCACCATTGACGGTACGTTAACGTGCCGTAAGCGGACCGTTTTCAGATACTAAAACTCGTAAAGTTTTACGGACTTAAATATATCGTTTTGTAAACATTTTCTAACCGTTTACTGACCGGTTTTTTGCCGTTTAGAGAACGTTAACGGGCCGTTTTCTTAACCTGGGCTGTTATATTAACTCCTAAAAAATTTTCGTCCGACTTCCTCATACTCACTTATCTGTTGAACACTTTCTCGCTAGTCGACCTAATCTAGGTACTAGACTATACACCAGAGGTGGGCGATGGGCTGTTTTTAACTCCCTCACGGGCTTCGCCTCATGCAGTTCTTTCCTCGTCATCACCCCGCTCCTCGTCAAATTTTCAAAGATTCTTCCCCGCGCGGCCTCGCAAGAATCCTCGTCCATCGCCCACCTCTGCTATACACATAGTCTAACTGCACTATAACTTTTTTTGATTACTTGAAAACATCGAGATTCGAACATCAGAACTTGTGTTTGCCAGTCTGTCAGTGTAACTGAATGGCCATGTAGGATCGAAAATTAATATTATCAAATGCTATTCAAGCTTGCAGGCTTAGTTACTACTGGCTTAGTTTACATCTGATTTAGTGAGTGCACACAGTGTGAAATATAATGGAAGAAAAACGAAAAACGCATACATATTAGATGCTTTAAACTGTAAACAGGCCGTTAACAGCCAATTTACCGGCCCGTTTTTAGGTCGTTTTGCAGTACTTTACAGTATACCAGTTTTAATGTGATTTTTGAATGTTCGGTCCTAGTTAACAGTTTAAAAATAGTGCATAACCGCCAAAAAACGGTATGTTTACGGCCCGTTAACGTAGACCTAACGAGATGTTTACACGACGTTAACAGACGGTTCTGTTTGGCCTGCAAACATTCGAAAATCACATTAAAATTGGTTTACCGTAAAGTATTGAAAAACGACCTAAAAATGGTACGTTAACTCGCCATTAACGGTCTATTTACGGTTCAAAGCATCTCTAATCGTGCATGTAAAAAGCGGCCTAAAAACGGTCCGTTAAGTGGTCGTTAATGGCCAACTTCTGCAGAATTAGCCAGAAACGTTCAGCAAACAGACAGTAAACAGTGACCGTTAACTGACCGTTTTTTGATTGAGGACGTTTTCAGACAATTTTTCGACCGTGAAATGTCCACACTAAAATGGCTTAATCATGCCCTTAGAATGACAGAATCTTTTTTGGGTAGAATCTTCAAGTCTTT